ATGCACTTCATCCATTACATTATTCTATAATGGTATAGATTTTATCATAAAGTAAAATATCGTTTTTTTGTTGCAATTATAAATCAGCAGTGGCTTTAAAAGCCAATTATTCAAAAAGTACCAAATCAGTGGTCCTGTCTTGCATAGCTAGACTTTTGTTGAATCCTATAAACTATATATATTATTTTCACACCATTTATATATTTATATATATTAGTTTTTTATTCAAATAAATAGAAAGTACTAACAATCTATATTAATGATTGACATGTAATTAATTAATTATTTGTTAAAGTATTATTGACTGATTCTTATTATTTTATTACAAAATGGTTGCTGGTGAATATTGTGTATATAATAACAAAATTAAAATGTTTAGATGTAAAGATTTGTTATTCCATTGGTGAAAAAGAAAGTGTTACTGTTGAAGAACAGAGTACTACTTGTAAATGAAAGAAGTATTAATATTAAAGATAGATTAACAGTAATATCAGTGAAGCATAAATCAGCAAGACTCTTTCTGAGTCATTTGGCAGAAAGTGATTAAATAAAAAAAGTGAAGCTTCCTTAGAAGTTTTTTAGAAAAGGTGGTTCTCTCAGTTATATATATATATATATACTATATCGGAATGACACAGTCAAAAGCCAACACAGTATCATACATAGCTAGTTTGGTCCCGCAAAACAAACCACACATCTCGTGTTTTTTCTATCATCCGTTTATCATTTGCCAGATTCAACTTGCCGCAGAAAACATCTTTTTTTTCTTTCTCTCTTCTTATAATATTCAAATTATTATCACATATGGACCACAACCATTACATGTATCTGGTTTTGTTTGATGTCTGCATAATCATGTGATATTTAACTTTTATAATTTAAAAGAGACTGCAATATCTTCAAGAATATCGTGTTAGCTCCTAATGATGTTGAACCAAAGTTTTAGCAAAACCTCGAGCTGAATTTTAAGTTTAATTTAATATTATGAAACCGGTTTCTAAGACGAGATTTACATCCACTTATATAATATAAATGAGCTTATCTCTAGACGTAGGACTTCCAACACACCCTCTCATGCGAGATATATACATCTTAAACGTGAGACTAGACATTAGTAGGTAGTTCGATAACGGTCCGACAGCAGGTGGAATAACATGTACAACAAACAACAAATATCGTTAAGATAGACTCTATCCATAATTTTAATACCATGTTAATAAGTAGACTTTAAATCTAACTCAATTCATAAAATCGGTTTGAAAGATGAGATTTGCAGTCATCTACGTAATCTAAATTAGTTTTAAATTCACCGCTCAACTTGTTGAATAACAAGTTTCACAAGATAAAGAAAATTAACTAACAGAATCATAGTTGAATCCATGACAACATTTGCACAAAAGGATGTCACATAACAAGTTGAAAACCCAAAGAACTCTCAGTGTTTTCCTGAGGGTTACAAGACACAATCCATGAAGCAAGAAGTACCATTTTTTACAAAGATGATGGATGAATGATTGAAGATAGAGTTGACAGTGAAAAGGGTAAGAAAAATAGAAAAAGAAATACTAAAACACAAACTAACTGTGTTTGTGATGTGTGAAGTGTGATGACCCCAACAACATTTAAAGCTACAGAAGAGTAAGGACGCGAAACCCGGGAAGCAACACAAGTGGTCAGACTGGAACACTGCGTGTGAGTAGTACAACACACACACACCAAATCTGGCTATCTTACCCCTCGTAAAAACCCCACATGCCCTTTTCCCATCACCTCTTTGGTCCACACCCTTAACCATGGTTATTCCTGTTATTACTTTTCCACTCACCACACTTTCTTCTGGGTTAGTTTATTCAGCAGTCAAGGAGAAAGCTTCTTCATTTCTCATTTCTGTTTACCCTTCTGCACACACTGTCTTCTACTACTACTATTACTCTACTTTCTACTTTCTACTTTCTTCTAGTAGCATAAGCAATTAACATAGCTACTTTTTTTGCTACTTCTTTCTTTCTTTTTTCTGCTGTGGTGGGAAGAAAATAACGTGTAAATAAATTGGAATGACACTAGACGGAATGAATGGACAAAAAAGGAAAGTGAAAGATGATGCTATGAATGGTTTATTTAATTGGCACCCGAACGAAGACCTATAGTCCTTTGTTTTTTTATGTCACTATAGTTTACAAAGGCCTTGCTTTTATAGAGTTTCCAGAACAAGGATTCTGGTCAAAGATATTGGTCTTCTTGCTTTTAACATATTGCAAAATAAAAATTAAGAAAAGGGTATGTGTGTGTATTTTGCATTAGAAACAGAATCATCTTTTTCTTCCTATCATATCCAGTGAACGAATTTAAGGGTTAAGGGTTGGGAGATTTGGTATTGATGGTACAGCTTTCGTGATCTCTTTGAATTGAAAATTTGGAAATAAGAAATAGTGAGTATTGATGATGGGCAAGAAAAAGCCACAAAAAACTAAGGAACTTTCAGTTGCAATAGCCGAAGCTGAAGCATCATCAACCGTAGATGATGAGAAAGAGCAACAAGAAGCTCAACAACCTCAACCTCAAGCTCCTAGAAAGAGAGGTAGACCTCGTAAGGTTATTGTAAAGATGGAAGAAAGTGAAGAGGAGAAGGCACAAGTGATTGAACAGCATAGAGGAGGTTCTTTATCAGCACAAGGCACAGAAAGTTCAATGGAAAAAGTTACAACCAACGAGGAAGAAGGAACATCATCAGCAGCAGCATGCATGATGGTTGAAAAACAAGAGGAGATACAACTTCCAAAAGTGGAGCCATCCAGAAGCAGAGCTAGGAGGAAAAACAAACCCAGAAAGAGTAGCTAATATACATAATCATTGCTCCTTTTTCTCTTCTCTTTTTTCTTTTATAATTTCTTTCTTTTCATTAAGCAATTGATTCTTGGTTGGTTCCTTGTTCTTGCCATGTTTTTGTTATTTAGATAATCGGTATCAAAACTGATATTGATGCTGCTGTTGTTTTTGAGGAACACAAGTGTCAATAGAAACACTTGAAGGAGTTATTGGTTTATCTTCTGCTTTTTCTCTTCTGTGTAAGTCTGTGGTTTATCTTATCCTTTCCTAAACCTAAACTATATGTACTGTGTTATGCTTCCATTCCATGACTTCAATTACTTGTTTCTTGAATATTACTATCCATTGCTTCACTCACTCACACACAGAAAAGAAATCTAAATTATAAGATGTTCTTGTCTGAGTATGTTGTTTATGTTGATTGCCTGCAACCACCAACCATATATAGTTGTGCTGCAAAAACACATGACCCTTATCTTGTTGAGTGTTTTCTTTATCTTCCAAAGATCACAGTTTAGCTTGAAACTATATAGTTGTGAATAAACTATAAAAATATTGGTTATGTTCTTGATATTCCATGGCTTTCTTTTACTGTGTTTTACCTTTTTTTTATATGAAACCTGGCATTATCATCATCATCTGCTTTATATTTGATGTTGGTTTTTATGTGGTTTTATGTAGTTTGATTGCTGCTATTACTGTCTTATGATGGATTCTGTTTGTAGCTGGAGAAATTGAAGGTACTGTTTTATTTATTTATTTGTGTGTATGGTGTTGGTAGTATTGGAAAAGGGTGATTGAGTGAAGAACAAAAAGAAAAAGTGGAAGAGAGAGAGAAACATACATAGCAATGAAGAATATAGTAGCCGCCCAAGCACACCAATGAATGATAAGGATGGTTCGACGTTAAGTTAAACACCACTTTCGGCAGAAACAAAAACCAAACCAATGCTTTTTTATTTCAACTTTTCTCTAATGTTTGAAAATCTATTTTGTTGATTTTTGCTGTCACGGAATGTTTAGCAAACAGAAAAGGAGATTATAGATTAAAATTTATCAAGAGGTATTATATTAATGAATAAAGTATGGAACCTACAAGGTTTTGTGATCTTCAACGCATGTGGATGGATGGAATAGATAGAGTTAAATGATGTTTTCTTATAATTTTTCTTAGTGTAAATGATTGACATAATTTATGTGATGTTTTGGATGATTAGTATTAGAAAAATAATACTTTTTGACACAATAAATTTTTACATTTATTGATATTATCTTTTCTTATTTTTTATTTTTTTTTCTTAAAAAAATATAAAATTTTACACTTTTATAATATTTTATTCTTATCATATATATATATATCAAATGAATCTAAAAATATTTTAAATTAATGTATCAAATGAATTTAAAGATATGCTGTGATACCGTTAATTTTAGTCTTACTAAGGTAGAATTTTGTGTTTGGCAAATGGGTTTTCACCTTTTGTTGGTATTTGTGAAACCTATGGTTGGTCCAATGAATGAGAGAGATTTCCTCCTTGTCCTATAACTTTCCATGCTCAACTTTTTAAGTGACGTGTGACGTTTTTCTCCTTTAATTTTACATGGCAAACGTGGAACATTCAAGTTCAAAAAAGATGGCAAAGGGTGACTTAGTACAATGTTTTGACTATGATCAATAACAAGAAAACTTAACAGATTTTGCATTTATTCCCACTGAATGATGAAGTATACATTGTCAAAAATATTTAATAATACATAAAATAATTTAGCTGTTTAAACAGAGGTGGGCCATGCTATAAGAATTTGGATAACGATGACATAGGCTTTATTAAATTGTTCATAGCAAGGTCAACCATTCAGTGAGAATAGGAAGTCTAATCATCTTTTTTATTTTAATAGTTATGTATATTAAAATTTATATTATGAACTTTGTCATATAAATATAAATATTTGTCGAGTGCACACTCAAGATTAAAGTAATAGTTTTATACTGTGAATAGTTTCAATAATAATTTTATTTTACTGTTTTCAACAATTTAGTTATTTTCCTTTGACCAAATAATAGTTCAGTTCACTGTGTAAAGTTGGTAAAAAAAAACTATTAAATAGTTGTGGGACCTATTAGAAAAAATTATGGTGTTAGAAAAAAATTGTACAAGTAATGTTATGGCGTGTTGCACTTGAATTGCTATCAATCATGTATATCATACTATTAGAATTGCATTTGGAGCTGTTTTCAAGAGCAACCTCAGTGGGGGAGGAGGACCTTGTAAAGTTTAGCTGAACAAAAACCGCTAGATAAAAATATCATTTAATTTCTGTAAAATAATGCTATTAGTTCCAATTATTTCAATAAAACTTCTGCTATTTCCCTTTAATATATACCTCTCCTTTTATCGATAAAATTTAACACCCTTTTTCTTTGATATTCCATTAGTTATTTTAACTGCTAGGCCGTTTATACTCTATTTTATTTTTCCATTAAATTACATGGAATTTCAATAAAAAAAAGTTTAAAAAGTAACCGAAATCTAAAACTAAAGTTAGATGAACAAATGACTAAAAATTCAAATAAAAGTTATTATAGTTATTGAATAATTTATCAATTAATTTTTTTAAAGAGTTGGACAAGTTAATTTAACATCTTCAACTTTCACCTAAAATCCTTTTTCTAAAATAGAATCATTTTTCAATTTTTGAATTATTATTTAACTTAGCTAACTACGCAGTTTCTTTTGTCGGAGAGGACTTTATTTGAGTTGTAGTATGTTTTGTTTAGTGCTGTTATTCATGTCTTCTAGTCGAATTTAGTGGTGATCCTTGCTTGGTTAGTCAAGCTTGTTATTTACTCCATTTGTATTTAACTTTTGTCCTAATTAGAAAAGAGATAGAGATTTTAAAAATTGCTAATTATTGGTTTAAATAACTTATGGGGGGGTCAATGGTACAAAGGGACAATAATGTTATACTACATGTCCAATTTTGGTTCATGAAAGTTTTGACATAGTCCACATGCATCCCACAGACAAACCTATTCAAGTTGGACAGCTTCCACTACATAGATTAAATTTTCCTACAAAATTTTACTTTTCATTCTCTAAACTTTTTAAGAACAAACAAACAAACACGTACCGATTTTGTTGAAAACATTCCTTAACTTGTAGGATTTTTTAAGATGAGGATTTTGTTCTTATTCAGAGGTTTGCTCTGTCATTTTATCGTTCTCAGTTCATATTAAGGACCAATTGATATACAATGACTTAATCTGCTTAGATTCCAATGTTTGAGAGAGCAGGCAAATCGAAAGCAGGAATTTACTCTATCATCTCTCTCAGTTTATTCAACTACACAATTAATATTGGAAACTAATCACGAAAGCAACCGGGATTGATGTGGATTAAACTTTAAATCAGAAGATCCTGTAGTGGTCCAAAGTTGTCTTCAGCCAAAAGATTGATGGAAATGGATTATAATTGAAAGGGAAGGTTATGGAAAAATGACAGAAGATAGTAGCTGCTGTGTGAAAGCATGTTTTGGGGGGAAAGGGAAACCTGAATTGTAATACTAGCAAAAACAAAATGAGAAATAATGCTTCTTTGAAAAAAATCTCAGGTGAAAAATATGAAAAAAAATAATATCAGAGGATGGGACCAACAAAAATCACGCATGGTAAAAAGCATGAAAATGTTATATTGGTACAATGATGTTGGAGTAGCACTAATAGATATGACGGATGAGTATTACTCGGCAAACAATTCCACAAATGCACTCCATATGAAGGGAGGGAGAGACGCAGCATCCGGGAAACTGCTTAGGATTAGGATATTTTGACTTCAACGTCATAAATTGAGAGTGAAGATGAGGGTAGGAGAGCTCAAAAAGGAATGAACAATGGCTTCAATTTGATCCTAAAAGGCGTGTGACATCATTCGTATACTTCGATAGCAAAATTTGGCATTCGTTCCCCAATTGCCGTGTTCGTAGGAAGTTGACATAGCTTGAGCTTTTTTAATAATATCATTAATTTGAATTTCCATTCTCATCATTTGTAGATAGAAATATGATTAAGAGACAAATGATCAATAGAATCTTTCAAGGACCAAAGAAGTTCAATTTTTTATAAAATAGCGAAATTGTGAGTATTTGGGTAGAAGAAAATATTATAGTCAATAACTAACATCGTTGGTTATTCGACAATAATGGGACTACATTAACAGTACAATAATAATTCAAAAACTTATACTACAATCCGACGCTCGAGATTTGCACAATCTACATGTTTGCATTGCATTATAATATTACTTCGAGATTTGCACAGTCTACATGTTTGCATTGCATTATAATATTTCCACCTAATCTTCCTCTCCTGAAAGGCTATATAACTTAAAAGAGTTTGCCAAAATATTACAACAGAGCAACACTAAGCAATGCTTTGTACAGCAAAACTTCAAACATATTCTACAGATCTCAATCTCAAAAACGAGTTGCTTCTGCGACTACAACATTGACATCAAAAATTTGAGGTAATTACGAAAAATATAATATTCTTTCAACTTGCAATTGGGAAAACTTGGGGGCTTAAAGGCTTAAATACACTGAAATGGTACTAGCCTATGTATGAAGCCATGTATTAAAAACTATCCTATTGAAGTATGTTGTATAACCTAATGAGTTATACACTGAAGAAGAAAGATCAACGGGAAAATGAATGTCAGTGGCCAAAAGCTCTTAAATGTCTAACCAGATTGATTGTGGCTCGACTTGTGATGTCTCTCTTTTCTAAATCTCGATTGCCCTGGATCAAATCCACCTTCCTCCGATCCATAGATGGCCCAGGATGGTGTGGCAGTCATGTAATCTCTGCTGTCAAAAGTTTTTCCAGATGCCACCTGAAAACAAATTGAGGGTAAATTTCATAAACAAATAATCCAGATTTGTTCAAAAGAACAGTAGGACTCGGACACCTACCAGATCATGAAATTTTTCATAGTCTATCCATGTATACCACCGGCCATCGATTTTGAACTTGTTGGTTTTTGCTAAGAGGACACAGCACGAGTGAGCATGCTCACATGCAACTTCATACTCTCCTTGACTTTTCAAAGCTAGGGCCTCTGAAAAAGCTTTCACATCAGCATGCCAAGGGACATTTTCCATTGTGAGTTTTGATGTAGTGGACCTGTGAAGAGTGCGTTGTCATTTAAAAGAGGGTCTCAGACTAAACCAAGTTGGAGTACTAGAGTGATAAAGGGAGAAAATGCAGTGACTTACGAGCCACAATACGTAACTCCCTTGATTTCAACAAAGTCAGGATCTCCTATACTAAAGAGCTTAGAATAAGCATCAACATCTTCAGTATTCCAACCTTTCACTAGGGTCAGGCGGTATACTGTTCGCTGATGTTTTTCCCTTAAAGCAGTCAAGGAATCCTGGCAGGTAGTTATGTTATGAACAAACATAGATAAACTGATCATGCGGGTAAAGTATACACCACGTGGTAAGATTAAATCCAACATAAAAAGAAAAATAAACTGAATTAGTTATGTTTTTTTCTGTAATTAAATAGTGTCTATTACAACTAGTATTCCACTCTTTATAATGAACAAAGAGGGGTTCTGACAAAATAAACACTCCTCTAGTCCTATCTATAAGAAACAAATCAGCGGTGTACTTCTTGCTTTAATTATAAGAACCATAATAGACTCATTTTCAGATGTATTAATTGCTAAATTCCTTTTATACCCTTAATTTAATATAAAGTCCACTTCAAAACTCACGTTCCAAGTAGATACATTCGTCAGACTTTTGCCAGTGATTAACTTGTCTGTGATTATCCCCAAAAGAACCATAGACTCATTTTCAGATGTATTAATTGCTGAATTCCTTTTATACCCTTAACTTATTATTAAGTCTACTTCAAGACACTCGTTCATTTTCCATGCAAGAAACATTCACCAGACTTTTGCCAGTATATTGATTAACTTGTCTGTGATATTCTACTAAAGAATATGATTCTCTGTCCAATTTTGACAGTATGATGATTGGCTACTTGCAGATTACTAACACAAACAATTCTTTTTTTGGATCCATTACTACATCCATGCTTCAAAATTGGCGATCATGGTGGGCTAAGGATCCTAAGAAAAAGCTCTTGGAAAATAAAAATTAAAACATCTCTGTAATTCTGTTATGCTACTCTTTGGAGCGACTTAGAAGGAATATCTCTGCACCTTATTAATACACTTGTTAACACTCTATGATTCTACTAAGGACATATTTTCACTCAGAGAACGGGGAAATACTTACAATGAATCTCTCCCAGAAATCGCCAAATAGTGGTCTATCAATTGCCTTCAAAGAGTCCTTTGTTGCAGCATCTACACTGACATATAACTGCAAGGCGGAACAAGAATATTAGGTTTGACTAGCATTAGCAAAACCACCACGAGTTTAAATTAATATCTCTAAATCATGCAATACCTGGGTAATAGGTTTCAGCGATTTAATTTTCTCAGGAAATTGTGCATTTGTAACTAGAAAAGTGGAAATCCTCCTTTTGTGCAGCTCATCCACAAGTGCATTTATCTCTGGATACATTATAGGTTCACCAACAAGAGATAATGCACAATGACGAGGTGAGAGACCTTCATTTAATCGCTCCAAGGTGACTCCTAGACAAAGAGTTAAATGAGGCATTTTAATGAACACGGTGATGTTCAGAAAAGTGGAGTTGCTCTGAAGCTAATATCCACAATATCAGTCACAATGGACACATAGCACGGTATCTGTGCTCCAGTTTTCTTTTTCTTTTGATTGATTTATAATTACAAAGCATAAGTATGGGAATTAATACAACAAGGTGGGCTTTGTCACCATACAAATGCACAGGCATTTCGAGATGGTATGCTACCTAGATTGAATACAGTGTTCATATAAGAATACAACCACTGAATAAATCATCAAAATTAGAAGTTTTTTACAAAGACATCATATTTAGGTTTTGAATGAGGGCAGGGCTTAAATGGAGGGATTGGATGAAAAAGGAGGGACAGATAAATTTTTCATTTTTGAATTGCGAGAGAGTCTTTCCAAGGGATTGAAAGGTTACATAATAATCTCTCATTTAAAAGTTCTCAAACAGGAGAATATTTACTTGAAATGAAACCTTTACCACTACCCCCCTCTTTCCATCTAAAGTTCTTCACTATAACATATCTTTAGTGTACCCAACGCTTTCAATTAGAGCATATTGAATGATAGTCCACAGCATATGATCAAGGGCTACTTTATCTGCTTCATTATTGACCAATCCCCCATGTAGGTCCACTAATCTGACAAATATCCTTATAATTCAAAATTATTGCAGCATAGGTACATAAGTTTACCAGGAACTCCTTTCATTTGTTTAACCATATTTGTGTGGAGGTCTATTGCAGAATTTACAATCTCTCTCGGATCATCCATCTCCCATTGCCAACTTTTCCCTACTGGATTTGTGTGATGCCTCCAGCAGAAAACACATTTATTTGCACATGCCAAGCTAGGGGTTGCCTCCATGCATCTGTGTCAACTCAAAAAAATTGACGTAGTGAATTAGGCAGCTGAAATATGCTCAGCAATATGTAAAACAAATGACAAATCAACTTTTTGGACAAGCACAAGAAAACTCGACAAAACCCATGGCCAGGATAAAGCCAACCACTGTATGGTCAAATTTCAGATGATGTGCAACCGTAATTACAAGTCCACCCCACTTTTCAAAAGCCAAACTATTATATTGCAGCCCAAAGTACACCCTCTTTCTTTCCTTTTCCGGATCCATTCACTGCCTTTCTTGTTTGTGAAATTTAATTTAGACCATCCAACGGTGCAGAAAATTTCATACCAACACAACTAATAAACTCCATCTTTAAATTCAGCGAGAATGAATAAGATAAAGAAATCAAGCACCCAGAGTTCCAGCTAAAATATAATGTTATGACATGAAACATACCTAGACATATAACATGAAATGAATAGCATGTCAACTTGCTATTACCTGTGACTCTCGATTCCATAAAACGAGTGTTTATAGCAACCACCTCGACCACGAAGCTGCGCCTTTGTCCATCTACAAATCTTGACACCACTATGCGACCCAATGATTTTATACCCCTGCAAATGGATAAAACCTCGAATAAAGCCATTTCAAAAATAGAACTTAGACCTACGTCTCATCTACCAAAGTTCAGATAGAAAACCAAACCAGCACTCACTAAGCAGCACAAAACACGCAATGCGACATTATGATATTATTCAGACTGTATACCTGCTTCACTAAATTTGCTCGAATCACAGGAGTCACCATTTCCTTTCTGCCACTCAATTTCCCATTACTCTCTTCACCACTAGCCAATGTCTTCCGCCGTGAAGGAGCTTTACCAGCAATGTCCTCAAGATCAACAATCTCACTCTCCACATCAGACTCCTCTTCGGAACTCGAATAAACGCCACATTCCAGAGCACCACCACCATCACCATCATCGCATTCCGCAACACCACCTCCTTTCAAAACGGCCAGCACCTTCTCACACCACCGATCGAAAACCTTGTCCAGGTCACCACCATCAACATCCCCCTCACAAAGCGGAACCACCTCCTTGGAGCCTAGCGCCCTCAGGTGCGTCGCGAGGCCCTTCGCGACGGCGTTGAAGGATTCACCGTAGGCTCGGCTCCCGACGCCAAAGACGGCTACACGGCAGCTCGAGAGGAGAAGTGAGCCGGCGCGAAAATCGGCGGCGGCTTCGGCGAGCCACGTGGCGAAGAAGCGGGAGGCAGCTGGTGGTGCGCCGTCCTGCCACGTGGAGGCGATGAGGATGAGAAGCGTCTCCTTGGGAAGATCCTCGGGCTCGTAGTGCCGCGAATCGACGACGTCGAATGCGACGCCGTTAGAGGCGAGGAGACGTTGGAGGCGGAGAGCGAGGGTTTTGCTGGTTCCGGTTTCTGAGAGGAATATGATCTTAGGTTTAGGTTTAGGGTTAGGGTTTAAGGATAGTTTGAGGTATCTTAAACGACGAGATTTGTAGAGACAGTAGAAGGTGGTGGCGGAGAAGAGAGCGAGGAGTGTGAGACGCGCGGGAACTGAGGATAGCGAATTTGATATCGACATTGTTGCAGTAGAAAATGAAGATTTGTGAGAGAAAATGTGTAGTAATGGAATCTAACTACGCCTTGTTATTGAAAAATGGAGCGAAACGAAGGATCTTTGAACACTGTTTAGTTCAGCGATCTGTTTCGGGAGCTGTTTGCAGCGGCGAATACCAACGGAAGAACCAGCGACACCGAAAAGGTTTATGGGCTGGGCTTTAGAAATCCAGGCCCGGTTCTTTTGTTATCATTATGCAAGTTTAGTATAAAACATTTTATGTAATAAAAAGAAATTATTTTAGTACATTTTGCTTCACTCAATTTTTTTTTCAATAAAACTTACTATTTATAACTATTTTAGCCTAATTTTTTATAATACCATAATAATTGTAACAATTATATCTTTATATCTCTTGTAATAATTTATTAAACGTGTGTGTATATATATATATATGTCATTGTTTTAAAACAGTATAAAACATTTAATTATAATTAATTGCAAACTTAACTACACTTTTTAGTTTCGCTACTATGATTAATGACCAATTTAATATTTTTTAAAGTTATTACAAACAAATTTTCGACAAATTTAAATTATATAAACAGTCAAAATCATCAATTCGAATTTTCCACTTTTTTTTTTTTAAATCCAAATCTCACTTCCTTATTTGTTTCACAAAATTCTAAAAATTGAACCATTCAAATAACTTTATATTTCGAATTCACCTTAAACTTCCACAATTAAAAGGAAAAAAAAAGTTACGTAGAGGGTTTAACTTACAAGTAAAGGCAAAATTATCATAAGAACTTAATTATAACAATGTTAAAAATGAATTAAATTTTTACAATGGAACATCGAAGCATTTTAAAAAATATATATATTTAAACCTGTAAGAATAACTTATGCCTTCTTAAAATACATTACTGATCAATAATGTATTTATGAGATGAATCAATATCAATTGACAGAAGTAGTAGCAGTCTGGTTTAGTGATTTATGGTTTGAATCCTCCTCATGCTATTTTGGTTATGGAATATATTCCCTTGTGTATGCTCAATGGTTAAAAAAAATGGATTTGTTATATGAAAGATACCTGTAAAATCTCCTTCATACATATCATTTCAGGTTGAAGGAAGATGATGGTAATAATACAGATCATATCAGCACTTGTGGTTATGGTAGATGTGTTACAGAAGAAGAAAATTGCATACAAGAGGGACTTAAGGCCTCCACAAAGTTTTCTGTGCACACAAGATACCCTCCTTCTCCTGAGCAAAAGTCATCCTAATCTCCCACTGCATGCTTTTCAATATTTCTTCCAATGGATTTAGAATTTCAACTTTGTCACGTATGATTGTCCAACCTCCTGGCCTTGTTATACGGTCCATCTCAACAACAATGGACACAGGCTGCTTGCACCTGCAAAACAATTGTTTCAAGAACATGAAACTGATCTTAAGCATGTAGTCAACACACAAATTGTCACATGTAATTCTAATTTCACTACAAACTGCTGGAGATCTCCCGTCGACTAGAAATAAAACAAGTTTACAATATATTAGTGGGTTCAAACTTCACCTTACAAGTCAGTTTTATGGAATTGAGCATTTACTTCTTAAGATGGTATCAAAACCATTCAAAGTCTATTCTAAAGATAAGACAAGTTTACAAGCTAATTTTATAGGGTTGAGTTGGGCTTAAAATCCAATTCTGAACCTAAAGACCTAACCGTTTAAGGTCACATTAATGGCATTTATTGTTTATATATTTAAAAAGTCTTAAATGGAGGTTATCTCATCATTTGACATCTTATAAGATTTTGCACTCAATAGTATCATATCAGTGGATGATATTTCTAAAAAGATAAAAATCAACCAAGAAAAAGCTAACATGAACCAGAATCAAAAGTCCTTCAGTTTATATGAATTAAAAGCATACTTGAACCTTCTAATTTTACTATAGTCCAGAAGAACAGGACCATCTCATGTCAAGAAATAACATCTAGAGAAAAGCATGCATAGAACAATGTTAAGACTTTGTCCAATAATACCTGTTTTTGAGCCGTGAGAACAAATGATCAGCATGCAGAAGGTCATATGTTCTTGGATAAGTGCCAAATGACTCACACCAATCATGGTACATACCAACAAGCCCACGTTCAAAAATGATGGGAAGTGTATCAGGTGCATGGACAGGCACTACATTCATCACCCAGACCTTTTGTTGAGAGAGAGCTACAGCCAATCTGAATTTACAAGGGAGAATTGTGAATACATATAGGAAATCATGCAATGAACAAAAATTAGACATGCATTAAGTATGTATCAGAGAATAATGCAGCTCACTCATTGATGCAAGGAACCTATCTATGATATCTACAAGGACTTTCAAATTGAGTACAAATTTCAAACTGGTTTCCTGGCATACCCTCCATAGATGGATTTCATGTCCATTACATTCCGAATACTTGTCCAGTTAATGCCTAATCCACTGATATATGACTTATTAACAACAGCATTCCAGTGATTGGTGTCTGCAACCACTTTCTCTTTGTTGTTCACCCAATCAGGATAGGTTTCAAGCCTCTTGGGCCATTCCTCAGGCCACTCTGCCCCATGTTGTTCAATTCCAGACGGAATAGGGTGCAAACATGTCTTCATGGGAACATACCTATTCAAAGAATATTGAAAATTTACCAATTAATGAATGAGATAACCTGATTAAACTCAAGCAACTAAATGCAGTACACAAAGATTCACAAACACACAAATGATGAGTTTGGTTTTGGAAGTATCCCAAGCATGTAAAGTCTAAAAATAATATTCAATCATAATCTGTTTTTCCTAGCTTTGTTTGGAAGCTCAAATGATCAATTCCAAGTTTTAACTATAAATATAGTACATAACCAAACAAAGTCACAACCAATTCTAATCACAGGTAGCACCACCATCATACTAATGTGTAATTTTATGTCATTACCAGATCAAGGAAACTCTGCTAATATAAACTAGCACCGAAAAATCAGGTTGGCATGCTGAAGATAAATACCCGTTTACATTCAACAAAAACAAATTGTAACTGGGAACATAGTGTAGAAAGCAATGATATACTGCTACAAGAAGATCAATTTAGCAAAATAATATTTACAGTAGGATACCAAACTGCATCAGGATTTTCATTTTCTTTGCAAAGTGGTGGAATCTTCTTCCTCCTCAGTTCGTATATGTCGTTTCCTTCCGGCTTCTGATATATTTTAACTCCAACTTCTCCAACATCATCACTTTTGTGAGCCAGAACATTCCAACAAATAGATGCAGTCAATGTTGTCATGGCTGGAAGAGAAAAGATATGTTTGTCACTTTTATGACATGATTTTTGTCATGTAAAAAGACAGGCAACGTTAATATATACACAAAGCATTGCCAGATAATGTCTTTAAATATTTTCTGATGAAAGGCTAGTGCATCTGATCTCCAACAGTAAGTATAATCGATATGGAATACACTGCAAACTTTATATCATAGGGAACATATGATATATCATTTTATGATAATTCAAAATTTTACCTATATTTTATATTATATATACGATCGAAATGTGTATTTCATTGTTACCATTTTGATCATGGTTTATCATGACCAAACCAATGAGCCATAATAAGGAATGGATCATTTTTTAATGCATTAATAAATTAATTAATATCCTGCTACAGTTTTGTTAAAACAAGAATACATGATAATAGTAATTAATGATAAGAAACTGAGTCTTTATGTCATCTGTGAAGGCACTTATGAATCAAGCATGAGACCAAACCTTCTTCTTCTTCAATGCTGTCATGTTTGGTTGACATAATAAAGTATCCACCAGGTCTTAGAATCCTATTCATCTCCAATAGAAGTTTTCCACCTGAAAAAAAAAGTGGGAAATTTCAACCTGTTCTTCCAACAAATAAATGTAAGTTGGAGAAACTATTTCCAAAAACAAGAAACTGAAGACAGGAACACAAACCATTGGAATGCCAAGGTATGCTGCAACCTGCACAATGTATAGCATCAAAAACTTGACTTGGAAAAGGAAGTCTCCTTCTATTGAAAGGACTAATCACTGCTGGAAAACCCCGTTCAAGCGCCACCTGAGCCAAGTCCACTAGATCATTCTTCAATCCGAGTGATAATGTTAAAACATCCTTATCAAGGAGAGCAGCTGCAAAGCTCGAATCTGTACATCCAATGTCCAGGACAACACGAATGTTTTTACCCCATTCAATGTCTGGTACCATCTATAAAGTTCAGAATGAGTATCAAAATGTTTCCAACATGACACAAATAAAAAGTAACAATTTTATTTTGTTTAGTTGAAACTTGTAAGCTAGTATAAACAAATATCAATATTACCATCACAATGCAATAAAAGAATATACAAAGAGATATATAGTTGTTCAAATAAAACCAAGCGCTGAAAATGGACATGACAAAGAAAGCCCAAAAAAATATTCAATAACTTGTTCAACAAACTAAAACAATACAATCCTAGAAATTTCAGTGTCATATGTACATTTTCATCTTATTATATCTATTGTTAGGATATTTAGTTCAGCCTTCTTGCCGATTGGCATAACATAACTCTTTCATTATGCAATCTCAATGTAGGTAGTTTCCCTTATTTATTTAAAGGGTTTATTAACAAGCTTAAAGCTAAGTAAGCTTTACATTGAGGAAGAGTATTAAAACATATGGAATGTCAAAAAAATGTCTTATCAAATTCATAAAGAAGTGGAATGTATCTCTAACTAAACTCAAATCAGTTTGTAAAGTGAGATTTGTACTCACTTATATACTATAATTTGACCTTAACACACCCCGTTATGCCAAGAGTTGGACATTTTGAGTTCGGGACAGGTAACACAATAGGCCTAACAAATTTTAAGAAAGTGGAATTTAAATGTGTGAGGTTTGCTCTCATTTATATACAATACTTTGGTCTTATCTCTAGTTGATGTGGACTCTTCAACATAAATAAAATAAGTTTTGTTTCAGAAACAGAAATAAGCTATCATTAACCATTGTTCTTGACATTGACAATAGATGAAAGTATTTTCTATATTGCCGTGTTTTACATAAAAGAATTTCAAAGCACGAGATCATGACTCATGAGAGTTGGTTGAGATTGTATAGTTACACACTTGTACAGAACATGAGCAGCATTGCACTTGAGAAGAGGTTTAAACCGCATAGGAAGTAAAGCAATAGTGAGACAGTGGCAGCACAGGGTTGCCATAATAATAGACATATTTCTATGATGCAAAATTAAAATGCTGAAATTTTTATGTGATAAAATAATACACAATGATTTTTATGGAAACTGGGTAAGAAACTAAGATTAATTTTCCAAAAGAGAATGAAAAATGTGTATTTCAAATATGAAAGGTATTACAGAAAAGAATAGGTTTGGTTCCCCAGCAATATATTTCCCACACCCTTCCTTCTCTCCCCATGTCTTTTTCAATACAAACCTCTTTTACTCTTAACTTACTGACATGTTAACTAACTCTTAACTACTTGTAACTAACATCAAATAGCCTTATTCCCATTTCCCTTACTTCTTCTCTCATAAACCTTTGTAATAAGAGGTTGCCTCCATCATATTTTCAAGGCATAACAATTGGAAAATAAGTGTCAAGCTTACTGAACTAGTCGGTATCTAGATCTAAAAATTATCTAACTACATGAAGTACACACCATATGAATTTGGTAGTGTTAAAAGGAGACACCTACCATAACTTGTAATTTCCCTTAATTCACTGTTGCCCCAAACAAAGAATTCCACGTATAATGAAAAAAAAATTGAAGTCACCAAATTACAAACAAGTTAATCTCTAACGTCAGTAAGGTAGTTCTGAGATTGTCATGTTAGATAAATAAAACTCCAGAAGTTCGACTTCTTATAGTTTTCATCGATGTATCAATTCTGTTTGTCCACAATCATGCTTAAGAGGTACCAAACATAGCACAACCTAGGAGAAAACTTACCTCTTCAATGGACTCAAGGTAGTGATGGATCCCTCCCTTGAACTCAGATTGGTTTTGGGGAAATGTAAGATACTCTTCAGACTCCATCAACCAATTATGTCTCTTTATGTAAGCAGCTAGTTTCGGGTGTGCAACATTCTTGTACAATATCTGCACTGACACAAGATGTTACCATGAGAAACAAGAACATAAGACACCGATATTTAAGCTTGTGTCCCAATTTGAATAAATTTCTGAAGAAATACAAACAAGACAAACAAAAAAAAGTAATCTTTTAGTACGAATTAAAATCTATTTGTAACTTTTCCATAAGCTACCCTATCTAATTTCTGCATAAACACACATAAATATAAACTAATTACGGATATCTTGTATCTCAAAAACCAAAGAATTATCTCAATTCAAATGCTCAAAAAACTAATAAGTAATCCAAAATAGGATTTTATGCGTTTTTCATGTACCTTCAATTTGCTCTCAGGCCAAGGCAGTGGAGATCCATACCCTTCATGAGGAAGAGGAACCAGACACATAAGGGGTGTCCTAGGACAACTCCTCTCTGTGTGCCGGTAGCTTGTTACTTTACCACCACCAACTTCAATATCAATGCAGGGAATGTAATTATGCTTGCTTCTAGAACTACACAATTTCCAGCTATAGCTAGCATTTGGATCAAACAAGGGTCCTTTCACTTTTACCTTGCTTTTTTTTCTCAACTCCTCCGCATCTTCCACCACCTCGGAATCATCCTTATCCACGGATTCAGTCAAATCACTGCCACCATCAGCATCCACATCCACATCACTCTCATGATCCACTTTCTCTTCTTCACCCTCCACCTCCTCTTTCACGTTCTCGTTCTCTTTCTCTTTCTCTTCCTGGCCATGTTGGGGTTGAGGCTCCTCTGACCCTTGATGATTCTCTCTCTCCTTGTCCTCCTTATGCTGCACGTGTTTCTTCTCTTTCTTGCTGTCCTTTCCCTTGTGTTGTTCAGAGTGAGGACGCGTGGCAGAAGAGTGAGAAGACCCATTACCGTTACCCTTACTCTTTTTCTCACTCTCACCACCCTTTTTAGATTCATCTCTCAACTTTTGCGGCTTGTGAGAAGAAAAAGACACGGGTTCCGCAATGTCCTCAAAACTCTCCCTTTGGGAAGTGACAGAGGAAGAAGAAGAAGAAAACACTCCCCACACAAAGATGAAACAGAGACCCATTACAGTCACAGCTGCCATCTTCACCCACAATCCATGTGGGCGTTTCGCTTGCCGAACCAACCGAGCTATGGCCATACTTCAATCCAAAAAACGAAATTTTTGCAATTCAATGATCGATGTAAGCTCTTCGAACTACCACCACCCTCCTTCTAAAACGAATCTGATCTAAGTCTACCGGTTCAACAAATGAAAATGTAAAGAGTGAAACAGCGGAAATCGACAACAATTGCTCAAATCTGAGAACTGAAACGAACAGGTTTAGGTGGAAGAAATGATGTCTGTTTCAGAGTGACGAATGGGAAAGTAAAAACTTTGACAAAGCGGAAGCGTGGAAATGGTTATTATAGAAAACGAGAAGTTTAAGACACAAAAGGGGTTCGAAGTTGCGTCAGTGGTTGAGGCATCATGGTTAGGCAGAAGACATGTTCCTCGGAACTTCGATCCGTATGAGGTTTGATGCAGAGACACAGAGTAGATTATACGTAGTCAGCGCTTAATCAACAACGGTAATAACCAATGTGCTTAAACATTATTATTACAAACAATTATAATTATTGTCATTGTTATTATTTCTCAAAACAAAACAAAATGTTTTGTTCTTACTTGAAATTTAGACCGAATCTTTCGTCAGCAAAATCTTTTATCCCTTTAAATGTGAATTGTGTTGTGGAGATTAATTATGAATTATCATAATGAAAGATGAATCAAGAAAGAATGTAAAAATATACATGTGTGTCATTTTAGAGTGTTTTATAGGAATTTTTTGTCCAAACTTATGCAGTAATTGTTCCATATACTAATATATTATTATTTATGAGTAATCATTTTTTAGACAACATTAAATGTTTTTAGTGAGGGGTTTGCATTATCTTAAACTGATAAGATTATATAGGATGGTGAATGTTTTGCTATGAGGCTCAGAATGTGTATCAATTATGGGAATTTATTCTTGCACCCCATATTTTCTTCATGCACCTCCATAAGTAGAAAAAACAAAATTGTTCTTCCTCCACCAGCCCAATTACATACTTTCCTCCATCTCCATCCCATCTTTTTCTTTCACCTCCACCTCCAACCCATCTTCTTCTTATCGTTGCCCCTTCATTCTATAGAGTATGAGTGTAATTTCACACATAATTGCATAGAATATGTTCTCTTTCATTCTTTTCCTGCAATTTCACACAGTTCATTTTTTGTTTTCACATGCATTACATTACAAGATTCTACAATCTATAATGTAAATTAATATTACAAATTATACTATAAAAAATGTAATTTGCATTACAGATTATATTTTAAATTTATATTACAAATTATATAATTTAAAATGTAAATTTATGTTATGAATTGTATAATTCAGAATAAAAATGTTACTCTGATGTTTAACAGTTTTAAAATTTAGTTTTGGAGAGAAATGGTTTGTTACTTTTATTGATCATTGTATTTGTCTCACATGGATTTATATTCTGAAAAGTAAATATGTGGTTTCTCACATATTTGTTAATTTTTTTCTTTTTTGTTTAAAACTAATTTGAAAAAAAAAAAAAAAGAATTAGGTGCAATGGTATTGAATATGTGAATTAAGAATTCTAAAAATTTGTTTGTATTATTCATGATGAATCAACTCTTTATCTAATCCTACAAACACCGTTGCACCTTATTTATATAGTCTCCACATATATAAATCAACTCTTTATTTTATAGTTGTTTCTACTTTTTCTTTTTTATATTATTCAATATGAAACTTTAGTGAATATTATCATTGATGTCATACAAAATTCATACTATGGTTAAAAAAACCCTGAGAACTAAATATTGAACTCAAACTGGAAGAAGAGATGGATGCATACACCAAAAAGATTTATTTATATTTCTTCTTAATTAACTCTTCATTTTATAGTCGTTTTCTACTTATTCCTTTTTCATATCAGTCAATGTGAGACCTTAGTGAATACTATCATTGATGTCATAAAAATTCTTAAGCCATGAGAAAAGAATGTTGAATTCAAACTATAACAAAGGAGATGGATGCATTAGTAAGAAACTCAACATGAGATGGTAGCCAGTAAAAATCGTGTATCAAGCCATAAGATCATATGAGCCTACTGTGAGGGAGAAGAAGAAGTCATTACCTCCAAAACCAACATTCTCGTTCGTGACAACTCTAGAGCTTTTAATGGATTGGAAATGGGACTTATTTTATAACCCAAAACTTTAGCCCATTTTGTTTTGTTTCGAAGCCCAATCAGGAATCGGTGACTCCCTCTGGTAAACTGCCACTGCCTTCAAGAACAGAAAAACGTGACTCCCTCGAAAAAGCTCATTTTTGTTACTGTTTTGTAGCTAAGGAGGAGTTACTAGGATGTGGTGTTTTGTATATTATGAAGTTCAATTATGAATTTTGAGTGAGATATGATGATTTTTTGTGTGAATATATAGATTTTGGACACCAATCATGTCACACTTTCAACACTTCAAGATTAGGGCTTATGCCACAGAACTCAATAAGATTTACAGTGCTAAATACAAACTACCAATGGACTGCACGAGTAACACAACCATTTTCCCACTTCCACTTCCTCGTAATGAATGAAAACCCTCTCGTTATCTTACATTTTGTCACACAATTCTTGACCTAAAGAAGGGCTGTTTGAATGAGTAAAAAAAATCAGTTTTTTTGAGCTCTCATATAGCAGACATTTCAATGAGACCTCTTAATCTGAGCTTCAGAAAACAAAAGGCTATCATCACTGGCAGTATTAAGGTTTTCCATTGCTTCAAAATAGACCATAATGGATGCTGGCTAGGTACTGAGTTTCACCTGCTACTAAGAGGCAACTGCTATGGCACCACCAACCAAAGACCTCACAGACTAAAGAAAAACCAAATCTTTCACAAGTGCTTATCCTGCCTCTCCAGCCTCCACATCTTGCACTTCCAATGGTTCAGGGAAAATTTCATTGGATGACCTTTTGTTGGAAGATGAGTGATCATTTCCACTACTTTGAGAGCCTACTCTTGATTTTTTAGTGTCACTGCTACTCTCTTTGTTTGCATGTGTTGTGGCAACAACACTGTCTGATGAACTGTGTCTCCAGCTACCAAAGAAAGCAGTGCTCCAAGATTTCCTAGAAGAGTTTGATCTCAACCTCGCTGAGCTGCTATTATCTTCTCTCACAATCTTCAATGGATTCTCCAATGCTTTCAGGACATGTCTCATTGGAGGACGTTTGGAAGGCTTTGGATTCAAGCATGCATGAGCCACAATTGCCATAGCCCATACCTCTTCCAATAGGTCCTCATCCACTATCAATTGTGGGTCAATAATCTTAGTCACACGTTCTTTATCGTACAGAGTGATGTAAGGCAAGGTTTTCTCTAACCACTCTTTTGTAGTGCCATCATCTGACTTGCTCACTTCAATGTTACCTGTAATGAGTTCCAGTAAAATCTTCCCGAAACAGTACACGTCGTAGGTGCATGTCACTGATGATTTACCTGTTCATTTGCACACCATGAAAGGAAAAATGTTTAGGATTTCTCTTGTTACAGTTTTAAACAACAAAAGGGCCATGAATCTTAAAGCCAATATGTTACTCTGTACACACAAAAAAAAGTCTTTTTTTTCAAGATTTGAGTTGTTTTGATGATAAAAAGTTGTTTACAATTCCAGCCACATGTTTGAAACAATCGCTCAAATTTGTAAGGAGTTATTTTGATCATAAAAACTGATTTTATGAATCTAAAAATGTGATTTTGTGATTATCTTTCAACAGTTTGTGTTCCGTCAATTGTTGAAATAATGTACTTTTTACAGTTATTTCAAAAAATGACAAAGTTTCTGGCTTAATATGAATGGATCAACAATCTGATAAAAAACTAAATAGACATTGCTAAACCAATTCTACTCACCAGGATCGCCTTCACTAGTAGATCTGCAAAATCACAAGAAAATAAACAGTTTGTTACAACCTTTTCTGGATACAAAAATAAACAAGAGAATATAAACAAAATCAGCATGCAGTGATAACTCTGTAAGCTTGCTTGTGCTGTGTGCCTTGATTACAAGAAACACTCTTAGCAATAGAATGCGATCCTTTTTACACATCAATTTTCAGTGACTTAGGAACATATGCAAAATTAAATTAAATAGGTCAAATGTCTAAGACAAAGCAACAAATATACTAATCATAGATACGATCAAATCATTTGTCTGGCCATTATGTTGCAACCATTAAAAGCTTCAGTATGTTTATAAATCATCACAGCATCTCTTTGATTTTTTTATCCATAGGAATTGATTCACTTCTGCTCTAACAATATCTCTTTGATTTTCATTCATTCATTGCAAAACAGTTATGCTTTATTAATTCAAAAACTTACGGTGGCTTGTTGAAAACCCTTGAGATGACTCCCTGTTGAACATCTCCTTGGGCGGTAACCTGGCTCAAACTTCCAAGTCGCACTTCAAATTTATCATCAAGAAGTATACTGCTAGCTTGGACATCCCTTCAAAAATCAAGAGTGTAATTTTAGTAATTTGCAGAACTACAAAAGTTATTTCACACCTCCTAACTTCACACATTGTTAACTGTGACAATGATAACAATTTAATACAACAAGATTGTAATGTAAAATATAACTACATAGAGATAAAAGACATTTCTAGCAATCATTCTAACATAGAAAAGGCATCATGCTAAAGAAATGAGAATCCAGCATGTCTTATTTTGACAACATAAATTCAATCAAATTTTGCAGACAAATTCAATTTTTGTGGCGTGATCATATTGAGAGAACCGTAACAATCTATACTGCATTTGGTATTACCTGTGGACAAGGGGAGGGCTGCACTCATGTAGGTAGGCTAGGCCTTCAGCAGCTCCTATTGCAATTTTCAATCTCGTGATCCAATCCAGGGACTGTAATTTACCATCTGGCTCATTGGCTCTGTGCAAAGAAGTAGCCAAATCTCTATGTGGCATGTATTTGTAAACTATACATTTCTCATTCTCATTGTCCAAGCAGTGGCCCAGGATTGGGACCAATCTTGCATGTGAAACCTTACTTAATAGTCTCAATTCCACGACATATGATTCTCTCTTAAATAAATTCAAATCTATCCTTTTGACAACCACAGTTGCTCCACCTTCCAAGACTCCTAAGAAGAGGACCCCGGAATGGCCATTCTTTATGACATTTGCTTCAGCAAAATTGTCAGTTAGACGAATAATTTGCTGAGAACTAAATGCTTCTCCCACGCCAGGCACAAAATCAGCATCCTTAGGAGGTATAGGGCTTTCCCCTTCCTGAACAGGTCCCTCTTCTTTGGTCCCCCTTTGAACTTCCGAGCTTCTATGATTGTGACATTGTTTTAGAACCAGCACAAGGACCAATGTCAGCACCGCAATAAAGCCAAGCCCACCAAATATTCCTACCAGTATGAATACCACCCTTCTGCTGGACTTAGATTCTGGGAATGAAAAGGGTAAGTTTCTTGCAGCATAAAAAGCTCTACACTCGTCCAAATTCCTCTGGTTTGGAGTCATCTGTAGGCAATTTCTGTCTAGAATAACATTACCACCACCTTGCACCTCACCTTCCAAATAATTACTTGACAAATCAATAGTTTTAAACTCGTACAGTGAAGTGTTCAGAAGTCCATAGAACATATTATTTGACAGATTGAACACAACACCAGCAGAGCTACCATTCCAACTTGTGAAATTCGGCAGTGTCCCAGTGAGATTGTTACAAGACACATCAAGAAAGGTCAACCTGGGCGTTGAGCTAAAATTATGAGGCAGAGCACCATCAAACAAATTCTCGCTGAGAATGAGAACCTCGAGGGCCGAGAGCCGTGAAAAAGATAAATCACCAAAAAATGAACCCGACAGAAAATTTTTGCTAAGATCAACCTCAACCAACTCAGAAAGGTTACCGAGTTGAGAGGGAACCGACCCAGTGAAAGAATTCCCAGAAAGGTTCAAATTTTGCAAACTAGAAAGGGCACCCAGTTTGAGTGGAACAGACCCACTCAAGTAGTTGTTAGAAAGATCAAGCCTTGTGAGATTCCCAAGTTGAGTCACAGAAGCAGGCATATACCCTGAAAGAGAGTTATTAGAGAGATCAAGAACAGTCAGTCTTGTGAGATTCTCAAACGTTGTAGGCATTTTACCAGTGAGAAAATTCCCTGAAAGCACCAAAACCTTCAACCTACTCAACTCTCCAATTGAATTAGGAATCGAACCCATAATAGAACAAAGCCTAAGGTCAAGTACATCCAACACCTTCATGCTCTCACCCAACCACTCAGGAATAGACCCATTAAGCACGAACCCAGAAGCATTAAACGATTCCAACAGTGTCAAATTCACAAGAGAACCCACTTCAAAACTTGGGTTAAGGCGACCCCACCGGGTTCTCCTCAAACCGGACACGTTTATACCCACAACTCGACCATTCCGGCAATGAACTCCGGTCCAGTTCCCGCACGGTTCTGCTTTTATGGGCCAATACTTTGCCCTAATCCCCAACGACGATCGAAGCTCCCTTAACGCGTTCCATTCCGTTGTCGAACTCAAACGCATTCCCATTGTTAACCCAACCATCAACAACAACATTGAAACCACACTCACTGCAATTTCCCCCATTCCCATGAATCCTAAAACTCACTCTCACAAACTCAACTTCACTTCTTTATTTCACAAATATCCTCTACAGCAAAAATTCTGCTCCACTCGAGTAGAACCACTATCACTGCAAAAGTTCTCCTTCTGGGTCGAAACACAGTGGCATACCAGGACTTGAATTTGAGACCGCTACTTAACCTGTACCCGTTGATCCATGCGCCGAGTGTTAAACTGAACTCGACTTCATCTGCATCATGCATGCACCAGTTTAGTTCAATTCAGCAAATTTTACACACAACCCATAATTCTATTTACTTTTTCACTTTTGTTTACCTGCACACGATTCTGTTCCGCCGTCTCTTCTGAACTCCGACACAACCCACGAAACGGATCCATCAATGTTTCAATCGGGAAAAATGTCTCTGCTTTTTTATTCCCTCGCAGGAAAGTGCATGAAACAAGGCTTTGGCATGTTTAAGGTTGTATGTTTGTATAATGTTGTGGTGTGTTTTACATGACCAAAAGGGGTGATGGATTCGGAACAAAGATGAAGCTTTTGCAACAAAACATTAAATGGGTGCGAAGAAAATGGATAGTGCATTAATGGTGCCCCCAACGGCCACAAGTCTTGGTTTGTTTCTAACTCACCGAAGATATTAATGAAGATTTGAGAGAGAGAAAGAGAGTGTGTGAGTTTCTTCTGAAAAAAGTTGGACTGTTTTAATGGTAGTTATGGGAAGTGAACATGGTGTGTGGTTATGGAGGTTGGCTTTGTAAGAAGATTTCATTGGATAATACAATACATTACAGCAACAAATCAAGGAGTTGAAAAAAAGAAAATGATTGTCAATTTGTTGTTAGAAGTTTCGTGGAATTGCATGGCCTTTTTTTCTGAGTTGATTTTTCTTTTCTGATTTCTGCTGGAAACATGAAAAATATAAGACCCCTGAAATCGCCATCCACTGATAAATGATGACATGGAAGACTTCTTTTTTTCATATTCTACTATCTTACAAATTTTATTATCCAAGTTTCTTTCGCATATTTCATTGTTTTCACTCATTGATGATAATGCAAACACTTTAATTATGTAAAAGTACATTTGTAATTTTTAATTTGCTATCCCATTTTACATGGAAAAACTGTCTCTATCAAAGTTTTGAATTACAGGTGTCATTTTTTTAAGGAATAAACATGTTTTCCTTTAAATTATATTTTATTTCTAAATTAAATTATAATTTTTTTTTTTTGTAAAAGTAAAATAAAATAAAATATTCTTTCCATCAAATATCTCCATGTATTTGATTTATCACATAAAAATCCCTTTCACATGTAACTAGTATATAATTATATAATAGTTAATAATAATCATAACATTAAATTATCAAGATAAATTATAATATTTGAATGTTGTTTATAGATTTAAACTATTTTAAAATGAAAAGATTTAATGAGAGTGATTAATCGTATTCATTAGTATATTTATTGGAATAGATAAAAACAACATATAATTTTGTTAAAAAGATGTTTTACTTGTTAAAAAATTCAAAGATTAAATATATTATAATTTAATTTGAAAACATCACTCAAATTTTGTTTATAAAAGTTGTAATAATTTAGAAAGAAAAACATATATAATTAAAGAAAACCTTAATATTTATTTTTTAAAATTTTAAAATAAGACGGTGTTAAAATTTCAAGTGTAAATCTGAGTTTTATTAAGTAAAAAAGAAAAGTAGAACACCATACTACCGAACCTCCTCTCGATAGACGATGGTATACTTTAAAGTTTGTTTTTAGAAATAACATGTTATATAAGTTTATTCACAAATAATTGAGCTGATATTTTCTCTAAATAAATCTTTCAAGTGATATTAAAAAATCCAGAAGGCCATTATTTGGAAATCTCAGCATAGTCAACAAAATTTTTATAGTTTTAATATTAAGAATAATAAGAAGAAGAAAAAATGTTATAGAGAACAGTAGGAACAAGTTGCAGTTGTTGCAATGTCTTCACACGAAGAATTTTCAAAGGGAGAACAAGAAGGCATCGCATGAGAACAGAAAGATGGGTCCAAATTCCGTAGTTTTATGCAGAAAAAGTGTGAAATTGACGATAGGGGCATTTTGTTTATTGGATTTTGATAACAATGTTTCTTTCGTTTATTTAATTGTGTTCAATTCAAACACACTCTTTCTTATATTCAATTTTATAACTTAATTTGACGCATATTAAATTTTCATTTCTTTTTAAATATTAATGTGACGTTCCTCGTGAACAAGATTCCCTTTCTGTTTTAACTATCATCGTATCTATCATGTCTATCTCTGATGCACAAATATTTTCATTATTAATTTATTGATGTTTTTCAATTCACAGTATTGTTGTAAAATCATTTTTAAAAAAATAATTAATAATTTATTTTTAAAATTTAATAATGTATCGTGTGACCCTTTGATTCATTTTCGACGGATCGATCATATATTCAAGAATATCACACGATGATTATTAGATATATTTTTTTTCTTGTTATTATTTTTTATTTATATTTTAAATTTAATTTATATTTTTTTATTATAAATATAAATAGATAATTTTATGTGTATATTAATCCAAAAAAACTCATTTATATTTTTCATTATATTCAAAACATGATTAATATCCATTGAATTATGATTAGATCATGAGTAATCTGAAATTTATTTCAAAATTTATTTATATATATATAATTACATTTATTATGCATTAACTCGATTAACTAGTAGATCTTTATTAATTTTGTATTGAAATACTTTTACAAATAATATTTTTGTGTAACTACACCCAAATTCTAAGACAAACAATAACAAAAATAGACCTTCAGATACCCAATGAATTTTAATTTTATAATCCAAACAAATCATATAATTTACTTTTTGTTTCTATAACTTTTTCATTTTCTATAATTAATTCAACCATTTCCACATTAATGCCAACTTAAAAAGTTTTACATATTAAAATTTAAATTATCTTTTATCTTAAAATTTTTCTACTTTAACCATTTGTCATGTTATACTTTTCATATTCTAACAACCTATTCTAAACACTTATAACACCAATTTAACAGAAAATCCAAATTAATTATATTAAAAAATATTTAAACTTAATTGAATAAATATAAATATATATACATATATATATATATATATATATAAATCAAAATAATCATAAAATTAAATTATTAATTAAACCTAAAAATAATTAGGTCATAAAGATCGAATAATCGATAATTAAAAGCGATGCTTTGAAAATTTTAAAATCAGAACATTATCCTGAAACATAGAGATTAAGTAACTTTCTCTCTCTCTTTTTAGGTTTGGATTGAATTTCTTGCATAGAAGATAGTATTCCAAAATTTATATCTGTTTTATAATTAAAGATAATTGAAAACTGAATTAGATAGGGTTTGACCAAATCAAAGCAAAAATATTTGTTAATTCATACGAGTATGAAACTAAATTTAAAATAATTATTTAAATTAGTTAAAACAACAAAAAGAATTCAGTAGACTTACTGTAATGCTAGGAAAGAAAATTGGGCGGAATTAGACCATACGATTGTTTTTATCTTCTTTTAATTTAGGTTTTTTTTAAATAGTTTTAATTTATTTGTTGCCACCTAATTTAGTGACTATGGATGCTCACAAGTTGGACTTTAAATATTTTATCATATGGTTCAATTAAAAAACCAAGTTAAATTGACTTGAGACTTTTTGTATTTTTTTTTTTAAATCCAATCTATTTCGGATTGTCGTAATTGAATTTAATTTATTGAATTACAAGTTTAAAAATAATTATTAATTTTTGTAATTTAAAAAAAAATATATTAGAACGATCATTTTAAAAGTAATTTTAGCAAAATATTAAAACCAAAACAAAATATTACTATTATTATTAATTAAACATTGGTTAGTAAGTAAGCCTCTGTTTTGGTTTATATAGATTTTGCACATAAAAAAGTGATAATTTAAATTTTAGAAGAAAACTATATATGTGTTTCTCTTTTATTTATAATATACATTTTAAGGTTTAACATATTTTTCGTGAGAAAAATTATTATATTAATAAGTTAGTTATTTTAGTGTTTAAAAGTAATATAAGTAATATGATATTTATCTATCGTTTATTTATTTTTAATATTTTTTATATATAATTTATTTATGTTTTGTGAAATTTTTTATTATGATTTGGTGTAATATTACATATTTTTGTATTATTTTATCTTTATTTTTTTAATAATATTTTATATGATGTCAAATAATAGATAAACTTAGGAGTCTCGATGTAATTGAGACGTGAAAGTTAATATTATTTTATGTTAAATTGAATGTGATTAAATTGAAAACGAAAACAACTAAATGAATTTATTTATTTTTACTAATGGAGTTAGAAAATACTATAATTAAATAATAAATGCTTTTAAAGGAAAAAGAAACAGTTAAGGTTAACAATTATTAAAATAAAACAAAGGATTAAAATCATTTTAAACGTAGAAAAAAAAAACATTATTTATGTACTAATTATAACATACAATAATAATACAAATTATAAAAATGTGAAAGATCTTTATTGAATAAGTGTTGACTCTAGAAAACTTTACAAAAGGTTGCCACTAAAAAAAGTTGCTACCTTTACTTTAAGTGAAGTGTCTCTTATCTCCCATCTATCAATAATTCAATCTACTGTTATAAGATACCTTTCAAGTATAATTTTAAAATACTCATAAATCATATTAAATATAAGAATAATGATGCTTTGACAACATTTTTTTACAATATTTTAACATCAACGTGTCATTATGTTATTGGTCCATTTTAGTTTTTATAATTATTATTACTGATCGTAAAATAATTTTGAACCAATTACAGAATGACACTTAGATAATGTTAAAATATTGTCAAATAAATATTGTCAAGTATCGTTATCCTAAATATATATATATATATATATATATATATATATATATATATAAACTACCTAAACATTACATTTTAATACCATAACTTCTTAGGGTTTGAATAAAATTAAATTATTTAAAATTTCGAATTCAAACACGACATAAATTAAAAAACATCTCTAGTGGATCTTAGTCTCCACCCAACGGTAATGGACATGATCCTAAATTGAAGGGACAAACTCTTTATTCTAAAACACATTTGCTAAAACATTTTTAATTACACTAATTTGTTTGACAGCACACAATAATCCGTGTTAACTTTTAACTAACCATATACTTTTTTTAATTGCATAACTCACATTTTATTATAAAGTTTAAATATGATATTTTTCTTTAAACTATTAAAAATATTGTATTTTATTCTTAAGTTAAATTATAAAATATTTAGTCTACCAAATCTTATAAAACATCATTTTTCATTAAACTGCGAAAGTTTTATTATGGTAAATGTTAAAATTTCGTATATCACATAAAGAAATACATAATTTATCATTTATTTAAAAAATATATTTTATATAACTTTCACAAAATACAAAATTGAATATTTTATAATTTAATTTAGAGATAAAATATAATTAGAACAAAACATAAGTGTTTACGGAATTGACAACGAAGCATTCTCTTAAGTTTTTTTATTGTAAATAATGAATATTTTTCTTAGACTTCAATTAAAAACTTATATTTTTATTACACCTAATAATTTTATAATATTTAGAAGTCAAAATTAAGTGCAGTTTAAATATTTATTTATTGTTTTTATGATAAAATCATGGCAGATAGATTAAATTTAAAATTTAAGATAATATTTTGAAGGTACGGTGATTTAATAAGTTTGAAATTAAAATACTATAATATTTTTTTTTCATTTTTTCTTAAACCTTTTAACTTAATTATTTTTTTACAAAGTAATTATATAAATGC